GAGCTTTGTTTGGAACTGCCAGGCAGGAATACTGCTTATTTTAAGCAGGCATGGAGAGAGTTTCTTGGCTGGCTGTCAAGCATCTATAGCAACTGGCTAAGGCTGCACCTGCAGCTGTTGAAGGAATATCATCCATTATTCTGAAAGACCTGCAATTTATTTTGGATGAGAGCAGGAATAAGCTGCTGTGTAGTGTAAGTGTTAATTTTTGCAGGGAACCTCTTGTGGTATTCTTTCTGGTGCAGTTCTTTCTGGAAACCAGAGAACAAACTGATCCCTCAAGTAGCCTTGTACCTTTTAAAATCACATTATGGCAGAGCCCAATGTACTAGCTAACATAAATTTTTGTTGACACAGGTAAGAAATGGTGGAAATATATAAAGGTAGAGTGAGAAGGTCTGGCGTGGAATTGGAAAAGTAGTGGTACTAACTGCAGATGCATAAGAGAGAGCTGTGTTGATTGTGTTTAACCCCTGATAAAACTCATGCAGGAAGGGTTACCATGGCAACAAGGTCCAAATCAGCTAGCATGAACTGAAGGCTGAGATAACACAATCCCATTTTTAGCACTTCAAAAGGGAGAAGATAATTGATGATCACACTAAAGATGGAAACAATACAATTTTAAGCTACATAATATGCTGGTAGGTCAATAACTGAAAGAATGCCACCAAGACCATTTCATGAGCATACCACCTCCTCCACCAATTACAAATCAATAAGAATTTAGTGAGATGTAAAATATCAAAATATAAAAGTGAGAATGATGGATGTCTCTATCCTGTTCAAAGTGTAGCTCTGAAATCAAAATATGATTGCTAAAAGTCATCATACAACACATATTTTTAATTTACAGGGATACTGTGACCAGAAATGCACAACAGTTGTGTGTTCAGCAACTCAGTTTTTTCTGCTCCAGTTCTGAGGCGCTCTGTAGGATCTTCCTCACATATTATCATTATAGACTAACCATGATGGATCAAAATATGATGCCACTCCCTCCTATATGTAAAGTGTTGAAATCAATAGAATATTACTTTACAAACCGGTAGTAACCTCTAGTACTGTACAACCTCATATAGGATGCAAGATGGGCCACAAAAAAGTGACAGTGAAGGTCTATGACTATGATGTGTCTGCTGCAGCTATGGCAGCATACAGAGAATATGAACAGGGACCTGAGAGGGGCAGTAAGCCAGTGGGCCAAAATGATACTCACTTTTCGGCAAAGGACTCATATGATTGCATCTTCTCCTCAATGTACTGCACTTCTGTCTAACTCATATGTTACCAGATACTATATAGTCATTACCAGGACTAAGGAGTTTGTTGCCAGTTTTGTCTCTTCTTCCCCAATGGTGCAAGTTTTTTTCCAAAGACAAATCCATGGGAAATTATATTCTTTCAAAAGTAATGCAAATAAATATATCCAAGATGATTTTTCAGTGTAATTTACTGGGCAAGAACTATAAAAGCCTAGGGGTCTTGGTACCACATTGACACCCGAGGAACCTATTTGTAATTCTGCAGCAGGCACAACATGAAAGAACACTTCCATCTTGTCTAGGTGGCAGCATATGTTTTCTGATAAGAAATGTGAAGGTTATTCAGGCAAAGCGCCTCTGTCAACAGATTCTTTGTGAAGAGCAGTTTGAATATTTCATGGGGACATTTTCCTGACAGATTTGTTGTCAGTCTTGGCTTCCTGCCCTAAAGACACTTCTTTGATCGACCGGCAATGTCACTGTTCTGAGTAGCCACACTCTGGATTCAAGTCTTCCTTCATCAAGCATTATACCTGCTATGTATGTTTAAAGTGTTCCCATCTATTATCAGCTACTCTGCAACTCTAAAATTGGTATTATGCTGCATTTAGGATTGGGGTTTCACTGTGGAGTATGAAAGACAGGAATACCAGAAACGATATCTTGTCAGACAAACTCTTGGACCATAAAAGTGTAATGTTATTCAAGAAATTGTGCTTTCCCCACATAAAAATGAAAATCTGTGAGTATTGGTTTAGCTGTCTTTATGACTGTTGCTGTCTGATCACAGCTACTATTTACAGTTCCTAGTTTATTTATAGTAGTATTTTATATTTATATATATGTAGCAGTACTGAATATTTGTGACATAGTTTAACATTTCACAGAATTTTCCTTCATTAGGATTACAAAAGCCTCTAAGGTCAATGTAAGCATAGAAAATCTTGCCAGGATTTACACATTACCATATGAATCAAAATCTGACCATGGTGAATCTACTGTGTCCTGAAAACAAAATATTTTAATTCCATGGAGAAACAGTACCTAGCATCAAGTTCAACAAAGCACTTTGCTGAGGAAATAAAATCAATGCTGCTAATAAATAATCCAATAGACTACCTTCTCCAAACAGATTAAAACATGGTGTCTCAGAAAATTGATATTGTTTAAGAGATAATACACATGTATATCTGTATATCTCAAAGGCAATACGGTCGCTTAGTGTTCAAACAGCTCTGCACTGATAGTCATGGAAAGGTGAAACTGGTATCCTCTAGATACATATAACCATATAGGGGACAATGCACAGTCTGTTTTTGCTGCTCAGCTGGATTCTCAAGAGCTGCTACAGTAACAGCCGACATGGGACCCTAATGTACCCAGCATTACCAAGTGAAATACCAATGAATAATGAAGCAGTGCTGTCTAATGTAAGAAATGAAGTTAATTACCTTTCTCTATTTCACTTTGAAAAGATAATTTCCGTCTTCGTAGTTTGCAGTTATCTCCATCCGTATCATTAGTAGTTTGTGATCTTATTACGAGGTCAGACTTTATTAATGAAATATGAAACATAATGACAGATTAGTCCCTTCTAAAGAGAGCAGGTTTTCAATAGGTGATTGACTGTTAATCACATTCAAGCTTTAAAAAAAGCAATATTACAGAAGTCAATCTGCATCAACCTCTCCATCCCCAGTTAATGGCATTTCTCAATGCTGACATTAAAAAGTTCATGCAGATTGAGCAAAACCAACAATGTCACCACCTGATGGTGAAACAAAAGTATCCTGATAATAAGTTTACATGGAAAGGCATAAAGTTCATGTGTTACCAGCTTTCTGAACTTGCACAGATGTGGTTTAAGTAATCTTAGAGAAATTAATGAAAAAAAATTTAAATAACCTCTAACAGATAATGTATAGTATTGCAAGAAGTAATGTGGTAACTGATTGTAATTGATTATAATTAAGTATATGGTAATGATTATAAAGGTTACATTTTACAACAATAAATGTAAGGCTGAAAAACACCAGACACTTTACCCCTCATTATTTTATCTTTCTAGACCCTCCCTTCCTCTCTCTCGGGTTCAGTTCATTCAGATACTTATTTCCATAGCAGAACAAAATGTTGTCTTTTTTGATCCATCTTATAGAAGAAGATTGATGTGCTTTTTTGCCATAATAAATATGAGATGCATTTAACTCTTCTTTCTACTTATTTAAAACTGAGAACTTTACAAATAAGCAAATAAAACACCAGTTATGCTTTTTGTGTACATACCCATGGCATTGGCTTCAGCCTACTTCCCTTCCCTGTGCTAGTGAGGTTTCCCGTGCCACTCAAGTAAGCAGATTTGCATGTGGGAGAAGGGCAGAGGGAAAGAAGTGGGAAGTGTTTACATCTTTCTCTATTCCCTTCATTGTAAACCTGGTGGGTAAGGTGCTTCAGTGGTGGCCCACTGGTAGAATAACTGCAGGAAGAAAAAGGCACTTTTACATAAATAGGAGGACAGGAGCAGAAGCTGAGGCAGAAGCACCTATTATTCAGAGAGCAAATCTGGATCTGAGTGATGTTTTGAAGATCAGAATGTGCTCATCACTTCTTTTGGGGGATGATTTTCTGTATTTCAACAGACAGTGGAAGGCAAGTGGAATTGCTAGAGAAAACTGTGATTTTACAAGCTCAGAGGCATGGGTGAGCCTGCCCTCCCTTTCCTGTCTCTGTGAAGACTAGCAATTTTTCTTAGTGGCTGGTACAGCAGTAAGAAATAACAACTGAAAAATTTCTAAGGAACATGAATAGTGAGGACTTTCTTTGTGTATTCTACACCACAACACAGAAGAAGGAATTTTGTTTCCATTTTCTCAAATCTAAGGAAAAAATAATGATAAAACATTGATGATAATCTAATTGCATGAAATAATTACTCAGACTAAAATTGTTAATGTGAATTTACCCTCAAGGAATTTTTCAAATATATGGACTTTCAGTTTTAACTTAAATTTATCACTAGACTATAAATTCCTTGTATTGTATTTCATATGTAATTAATAATGATGACCTTTTCAACAAATACAAAAGGATGACTTTTAAAATAAAGAATAGAATTGATCTTTTATTTTCAGAATGATCTTTTATTTTAAAAAAAGGGTCAGCATAAAAAGAAGTGACATTTCTTGTTAGAAGTTATATTTGTTTTAATTTTTTATACTAACGATCCACATGTTACTAGTAAAGACGTCCCTGTCATTTACAGCCCAAAACTTAGTGTTCTTTGTCTCCTTGTTTCTCATAAGGCCTTTGAGGCCAAATTATGTTAGTTTCTTCTCACTGAACCTTTGTTAAACCACAAAATGGCAGTATCTCAGAAATAATGAAATGTAAACTAGCCATTCTGTGGGCAGTGTATTCCATGTTTCATGGACAGTGCTGATGTACCCTGGAACTTTCTAGGGAAAGCTTTAGCCCCAGTAGCATGAGCTTGGCAATAGCCTTTCCCCTCTCCCTTTCTGGCCAAACTTCCCCTTTTTTTTCCCAATTCAGATTGACCCTGTCAGTCTGAGATAAGGAAACACTGGTAATTTTTCTGCATTCTTGAAGATGCAATCTGGGCAAAAGGAGACACTTATGAGAGTCACTGTGGGAAAAAGAGACCAAGAAATCCTCACAAATTTGAAGACTGAGTGAAATTTGAAAAGTCCCTTGTATGCTTTTTGTCTCCTAGGAGGTAGGGTGTACTCCAAGATAAGAGAATTAACAATTCATGTTTGAAAGGCAATTAAATATTTTCTGTCATTAGACACAGAAGGAATCCGGATAATCTAATTTATCTCTATTTTGTGGCTGTACAATTATATTTAGTGTCAAAAGTTCCCCTTGTGGTGACCCAGGCTATAGTCACCTGAAAAAACCATATTATCCATGACTTTAACAAAACATCCAAAATCCCACTGGCTGAAACTTTAATACTCTTTAAATATAGAACCAAATCCAGTTAGATTAACATCATCTCAATAATTTCATTGACTTCTGCTGAGTTTAACTGACTTCAGTAGGAGTAATCAGGTGAGTATATTTTTTTAAAAATAGGATTTAGCCTCAGGCTTTTAGCTTTTAATTTTGCTAACCTTGGTTTTTCAATTACTATTTTTGAGTTTTGTTACTGTGGGATAGATTCAGCCCAATATTAAGAAAAAAATGACTTATGGTATGTACCTTTGCAGTTTCATCTCTCAGATTAAAAGTCAGTTCTAGATTGGTGAGAAAGAGATCAGAAAATTCAGGGTACATGTCCAAAACTTCTAGTAGATCTTCTCGCTGGATCTTATGCAAGTCACAGTAAGTTAAAGCTCTCACATCTGCATTTGACTTTCCTGGTTTTGCATAAAGATGTACCATCTCTCCAAAAATATCATTTTTCCCTGCAGAAAGAAAATTAGATGGAGATTATTATTTTAAACATGAATAAACCATTAAATTGAATGATGTATTTTTTTATGATATGGTGCAAAATACTTGATTTTACATGAAATGATACAATCAGATTACCATTGCAGATATGTTGTTGTAAAGCAAAAGTATTTTTGTTAAATATTAAAAGTAAAATTATTAAAATCAATGACATTACATAGACATATAACTGGACTAAGTGAAAGGAAAATCTAGTTGCATCACAGTTTTTCTTCAGTTTCACCAAAACAGCATGACTAGAGCAGATTTCTTTGTAGTTTCTCATAAAAACATTATTTGCTGATTTAAATAGTATTCTTATGATGACAAAGATGTAATTTCTGTTGTTCAGTAGAGGCCAGGACTTGTCTGGTCTGGAATCTCATTTTGCTAAGAATTACATGAAGAAACAGACTATACTTGAAATATATTTTAGTAGGAAATGACTTAGTTTTCAGAGGGAATGCAAAACTTCCAAGATGCAATTGTTTTGAAGAAGCTCTTCAAATATAGCTGCTTCTATTTTGATGCTATTACAATTGTTTCCATCAATGTTGACACACTTGCAGTACCTGTTTGCTAAAATTCTCATCTCTATTTAATTGCTTGTTTTCCCTAAATCTATAACTAACCTTCATAAAAGCAGAGCAGCTGCAGCCATAGACTTGTGCAAAATATACTAAGGGTTGACGGGCTTAACTGTAAAATGGGGTTTGGGGGAGAACTGGAAAAACACTTGTGGAAAAGAATAGTGGTCATAACAAATGAGAAACAGTAGACTGGTAAAAAAATATAGGGGTGTTTTTGCCTCTCTTTTAAGCATTTGTTGCTTTTATATTACTGCAAGTTACTGTAAGCAGTTCTATTTTCTCCATTTTCTAAAAAGGAAGCTGAAAACTGGGTGAGCAAGCAGTTAAGGATGCAAAAAATAATTTAAGGGCTGACTTAAAGTGAGGATCTTGAAGAGGAGAGTGTTAAGCTTATGAACAGGAAGATTAAGAGGTAACTTGATTATATTTTGTATATCCTTACAGAGAGGAAAAATTGCTTGGTACTAAGTGCCTTTACAATATAATAAGGAATGCATAGCAAGAACCAAATGAAAGAAATTGAAGCAAGATAATTTTATACAGGAAATAAAACACACATTTTTAACAATAAAGATGATAAATTATGGAAATAAACTGTCAAGAAAAGTGATCACTTTTTCATCTCTTTATGTCTTCAGATAAAAACTCATTGCTTTTCTTTTGTCAAACAGTTCATTAGACACGGCAGATAGTTAAAGATATGAAATATAACAGGAGTCAGTGATATAACAGGGGATAGCCAATACAGTGTAATAGTCCTTCTGGCATTAATGTTTATGAATGCAGAGATCCCTATTCAAAGCATTTAATACCTTCTCTGCCATATGACTATTGACATGATTGCAGTATTTTTAGAAGTTGTCTGCAAAGCTGAAAGAGGTGGTAGATTCTATGAGGTCGACAGCCATGGTATGTTTTAAGCATTTGGCACAGAATTACTATTCTCAGTACTGATCAGCCCTTACTCAGCGGCACCAGACAGTGCTGATGAGTTGAGGAAAACCGGGGGACAAAATCAGCATTTCTCAGAACTCTGTTTTCTGTGATGAAGTTGCAATACTTGTTAAGGGTGGAAGCTTAATCCATGCTACCTCTGTTGGACTGAAGTCTTTTCAACCCCAGAGGACAAAGCATTTGGTGTTTTCTATGTCCATTTCTGTGTCTAGATTTTTCAGAATGAGGAATTAACTAAAAATGTTTGGCTAAGTATTGGTAATGTTTGTTAGGTTTCTGTGTGATTTAATTGCAGAATAATTTTAATTTGTATTATTTTCTATTCTTTTTTAGCAGATTCTTCAAGATACCACAGACTCATTGACTGGAGCCAGCTATCAGACAGGCTCCTTCCTCATGGATTGTGCAGCAGATGTGGGCCCACAGAGCAGTTCCTTTTGTCTGCAGTTGTGCACAACTGTCTCTCTTTCTGTCTGGACCACCATTCCCTGGCTCCAAACTGTGGCACCTGGTATGAGGAGCTGTAGGCTGGAAGACATATGGTGGCATTGCCCTGCAAATACCTGGATTTCTGCTGAAGTGTGAGAGCCCAGGGATCTGATGTGCATAACATGAGAAACTTGACCAGTCTGCCTCTTTGGTCCAGGAAGAAATTAATTAGTTCATAAACTTGTCAGTTTTTCTTGATTGTGAGTGCTATAGAAATTTACATGTTTTTGAAGGAAGAGCTGAAATCCTCAGTGAACCACAGTGTTCACAATCAAGGGAAGACACTCACACAGGTAAGTAAAAACCTCACAGTGTTATATTTGCGTGCTCCCTACTTTGCTTGCGCCTAGAGCTGGCCCAGCTGATGAGGTGCAACAGCATGAGGTGACAAATTATCTTGATAACACCATCTCAATCTAGGGACGGATTGCTGTAGGCAGAACTTTGTACTTCTGTTCACGTATCCACCCTGCAAAAGTGCTGGCAGAGTATTCAGTCACAAGTGGATTAATAGCAACATTATCTAGTAGCAAAAATGCTACTAGGTCACATTTTGCTTCAGCTACTTTTCTGGCTCTAAGTTCCTACAGCGGATGGTAAACAGAAAGGAGAACATATAAATGATGTTACAACTAATGTAGGTTTCTGTACAGCAAAATCCTTATTCATCTACTCAGTTATTCTTTGCATTCTTATTACCTGGTATTAAATTAAATATTTATACTGATAAAAAATCAGTAATCTTGTTGAAGTAGGGTTTTAGTTACTTTACTTTTAAAATTGCTGTAGCTAATGAAGTCTTATTGGTTCCAAACAAGAGCCATCACCAGCTGCAGGTGAGCACCCAGCTGGATTGAACATTGCTCTGAGCCATCTTTATTGGGAAAGAAAACAAGTAACTCCTCATGCTATACAGAAAAGAACAAGTTGATAAGAAATATAGGGGAAACCCAGGTGTTATTACACCTAAGTATCAATCTAGATCAGATTAATCTGTTATTCTCTTCCTTTTGTATACTCAGTGGGCAGAATCAGACATTTCTGAAAACCTCTAGAAGACATTTTGAATGCCTAAAGTAGATACATGTTTTTTTCCAGTTAGCATATGGGGGGTCTATACATCTCAGTACCCTCATACACTCTTCAAGAAAAGAGTGTCCTTGACTTTGGTTCTTGCAGCATAATCTGGAGTAATTTGATACCTGCTTGCTTCAATTTGCAGTTTACCACTTACCTAGGGATAAATCTGACTCACTCCTGCTCTTATATTTTAGATATCCAAGGGCATGGATTCTTTGGTACACATGAATTATTGCAGCATTTTAGACTTTACTCCTTAAACAAATTATTTCTCTGCTTGATTTTAAATAACAGTACGTAAACCACAAATTTCCTTCCCCATGAACAACAATGGATATTTCTTTTCAATCCCCCGACGCTTACTTGGTAATTTACTTACCAAGAATGGCTACAACAATGTCACTCTTCAGGATTTCAATGGAGCCTCTTGACACAAAATAAAGAGCAGTGAGAACATCTCCACAGTGCACTAAAGTGTCTCCAGGAGGTGCATGTGTTGTCTTAAATTTCATAGCCAAAGCTCGAAGACAGCCTTTACTGGCCCCCTGGAAAGCTTTGCAATTCTGAAGCAAATTTTGGTTGAGATGCAGACAAATGTCAGCTTGTAAGCATTCTGGGAACCCCTTCAGGACCTGGAAAGGCAAGCATAAGGATTTCATGTGAATGCTGTGAAAGTTGCATGATACAATTTTTATGTTTTCTTCCTGCACAGAAAGAAAGAAGTGACATACCACATACTTAGGTGGTCCTAATAGCTGTAAGAGTATTACAAATCAACAAGTGCATAGTGTAATCTATATTGCAAAGCTTACACAATGTGAATACTAATGCAAAAATTGTTATTAACATTTATTTCATTGCAGGAAATGGTATCAAGGTATATGAATGAATAGACTGCAGTAAAATAACAAATAAGACAGCTAAAGAGAGAGTCTTGACTGAGTTTCACCTATTTGGACTAATATGTCTATTTCCTTTTTATCAATTATAAAAGTACTACATTTAATATGAGAGATTTTTGCTGAAATAACCATGACATTTGTAAAATGAGAGCTATCTGAACAAGACCAGATATTTTTCAGAGAGAGGGCATTTTAATGGGATTTTAATGTTAAATATATCTGCCTGTAAGTGTAGGACTTAATCAGAAAAAGCAACATATGCCACTGAAACAATGATGTTACGCAGATTTACATGGGCAGATGATTAGTTCAGCAAACCACAGGGCTAGTTGCTATGGGCCTTGATTGTCTCTTACTCAGAACAATGGGAGTTTGCCTGAAGTAGAAGCATGGGATTCCTCTTGGGTACTATGGTAACATGTTAATTTTGTTTAGGAGAAAAAAAGTGAGCTATTTACAATGTGGTCATTATGTATGAGCTTTTCTAAATTGTCTAGGATCATACCTCTGCTTCTTTAAGAATCAGTAAATATTTCTGCTACTGACTTCTATGGGAGTACTGTCCACCTTGTGACTCTTCCCACTATGTTAAGGAATGTGCCTGACACATTATTATGCACCATCCTTTCTTTCTGTTAAATCCTTTTCTCTGCTGTCAATGATGTTATTGGGTCATATGCTTTCCCTGGGACAGGCTACATCTGTTGTGTATTTCTAAGGACATGAGCTGGTGCTACTAGTCTTAGAAATATGTGAACAGGATATGTCTTTTTTGTTATTAGAGCAGTCTATGAATTCATTCCTGTTTATCCTCTGCACTGTTTTGCTACAAACATATAAATATTCCTGCGCAGAAAAAAAGATACAAAATGCATTAACTTGTTGCTATGTTAATTCTTAGTTCAGCACAAGAAAGGTCTGTGCATTCACTCCTATTACATAAAATATTCACAACTGGTATCCCTTGTTAACAGAGATGATGAACATGTTTCTGATACAAGACTTCTGTCCACACAAGCCAAACTATGATTTACAGATGAAATATTAGTACCTTTAACTGAGTTGAAATGTTTCTATGATTACTAATGGAAATCAATGCTGTGAAATAACAAACAGAATGTTTAAACACACATATATACAAAAATTTTATGAGCTACAGGGCATTAGCACATGAAATTTATACATCCTCAGAAAAAGCCAGCATTCAGCAACAATAAGCAAAAGAAAACATGATAAATGAAAAGCTTCTGTGGTGCCACTCTGTTTTCAATATATATCACACCACTAGAAATAGCTTAGTATGAAATAACTCTTTTTATTTTAATGCAATTTGATGGAAATAAAAATATTGTGGGTTGTAGCAACTTATTTAGTGTATCATACTGAGAAACTGATGACTAAATATATATGGTTAATGATACAGCTGGAGAAAAATTGCAGGTGTTTATTTTAAAATTTTTCTCTAGTCATGTCAGTAAAAAAGACCTATTTTGAATTCATTCTTTTGCTATATGCCTATCTGAATATAATTTAGAAGAGCTCCATTTTTTATAGGATGCAAAATAGGAAATATATTTTCAGTTCAGAGGTACTTACAGGAAAAGGTATTTGAATTGTTAGAAAGTGAAGAGCACAGCCTTAGTATAAATTATATTAATTTTTCACATCAGCTTCAGTTTACCTCATTTATCAAGGGACTGTATTTTACCATTAAGCAAAAACCATTCAGACCATGTGTGTTGGTTTATATTTCTGAAGATACTTTGGGGATTTCTTTAAATAAACAATTATTTTGGTGATTAATTTATACTTAATATGAAACTGCTCTAAAATCATTACATATTAGTCAATAATTATTTATATGCCAATAACATCTGAAAGATACTAGCCTCTGTTCAAGTATCTATGGTTAAAAAGTCCCTGCCCCATGGAGCTTACACTCTAAAATAGTTGTTATACATCAGAGAGGAAGAACATTTACTCTTTAATAACACAATGATCAAATATCTGGAAAGAAGACAGGTACCCAAATAACATTGATTACCAATAGAATTTTTGAGATTACTCCACTAACAGAAGTTTAGAAATCCAGGAAAGAAGCTAATTTGAAGATAAATTTGTTAAAACATTGCTATATACTACATTTCTGAAAGGACCTTACCATAAAATGCACATTGTATGTAGTGAGGTATTTAGTCCAAGTCCAGTAGCTGACACTATATAGAACGTGATGTTTCCAAACTAAGTTTTACGTTTTGCGGTACAGACAACATCTTGCCAACCCAAGCCTCCATGTACATCTCCAATATTCAGATTTTCATGGTTTTGAGAAAATATTTCTTATTCATCAATTTTTAGCTTGTATTAATAAGGAAGTATCTGATTCTCACAGATACCTTTGACTGTCTGTGTAGAGCAGGAACAATTGTATTGAAAACCATGTTCTTATAATGTGGCAATCAACATCAATACGTTATGTGTACACATACTGATAACTCTAAATATTAGAAAATCATCCACATAGTCTTCAAAATAATGTGATTAGGTTAAAAATAATGAAACTCTAAATATTGCATTCCATTTCTTTTCATTTGTTGTGAGCTTTTGGAGTCTTTAAACACATTTTAGTCACACTCCAATGGGATAGCAAAAATTCAAAATACACTTTTCTAAACAACTAAAAACCAGCATATCCTTGAAATTATGTGAATGCAGGTGATGTGAAAATAAAATAATTTTCAAAACAAAAATTTGAAAATGATAAAGCTAGAATTGCTCTTTAAGTAGCATTAACCCCAATGACAAATCCAAAATTAATAGATCATTTGAATAGAGGTTTGGGTTTCAATTGCTCCCTTCTTTCCTGACATGTTTCTATTGCTACACTCAATATCTCCTCAATAGTGATTCCACAAGGCCCTGGTAAGAAAAACCTCATATTCTCATGGTTAGAATCATAGTTAGAATCAGAATTCATGTATGATTCAAGAGACATGAACCTTATAAAATCAGCCTCAACCTCAAAAAAAAAAAAAAAGAGAAGAAAAGAAAACCAGTTATGATGCTGTGACCATGTGACCATAGGCTCCGGTTGTCTCTCCTTGAAAGTTATCGAGTCCAAGTTCAGTCACCTCTTCCTGTCTGGAATAAAACTTATTCTATGTCAAATAACATTGGCTTAACTACTTGGCATGGTTAGAGAGGACGAAAGTGTCATTCGGAGAGAAATAAAACATTTTATGTGGAATAAGTGGTTGAGACTGATGAAGGAATGAGTGAGAATAGTAGGGACACGATTCATATTGCCTTGAAGAATGTGGTCTTTTATAAATGGAGAGGAGGTCCAGCTTTATTCACTTCCCTTTTTCAAAATGTCAACAAGGTATCACTCAAACATGTATCAGACACCTTTGTGACATGAGAATTGGAGACATCTGTATGGCCTAAATTCAAACAACTATCAAATGTTTGGGGTAATGATAACTTCGTTTGGATAAATGATAAGATCCATGACAATTTTTAGATTTTATCTCCTCAGTTCTGGAACAGGTATTGACATCTGTACCACAGCAAATATTTAGAAAGCATTCAAGCTGAATCAGATCAAGATATTAGCTACAATAATTGTCATTCAATATGGAAATATCATCACACTCTATACCAACAGAATCACAGAATTGTTAAGATTGGAAGAGATCTCTGGAGGTCATCTTGTCCAACCTCCCTGCTCAAGCAGGGCTACCCAGAGCTGGTACTCTAGGCCGATGTCCAGATGGCTTTTGAATACCTCCAAGGACAGAGACTCCACAACCTCTCTGGGCAACTTGTGCCAGTGCTCAGTCATCCTCGCAGTAAAAAAGTGTTTCCTGATGTTTGGGTGGAACCTCCTGTTTCAGTTTGTGCCCATTGCCTGTGGTCCTGTGACTGGGCACCACTGAAAAGAGCCTGGTTTCATCTCCTTCACAAAAAACCTTCAGATTTTTCTTCACATTGATGAGATCCCCCGTGAGCCTTCACTTCTCCAGGCTGAACAGTCCCAGCTCTCTCAGCCTTTCCTAGTATGAGAGGTGCTCCAGTCCCTGCAGTCTGGCAAAGATATTCCTTTAATTCTGCATATAATCTTCTGTCATACATTTTCTCTGCTGAAATGTAGGTGGAATCAAACATTAAATGCCAGGCAGCAGCTGAAGAGAGCACAAGGGAGCTCTTGTGTGTTTGGGGTGTGTTGAAACTAATTTTGACTAAAGCTTTCTTGTCCTAGAATCAGAGTCAGACTTATTTATGAGTGGCAAGTATCAAGCATATAAAGGGAAAGGTAAAGGTAGACTCTCGAGGTCATTTTACAGTTTAAGCTGGCATAAACTGAAAGAGAAATTCTGTTCCTTCACCACATTATCTGTCTTGATGTCTCCTTGTGAAATGGTTTGAAAAACTAATCTTTGCAAAAAGTATAGCCAGCAAGAAATTTGAACAGCTGAAGATACAAAGAGACTGGAATAAATAGACTTTGTGTCTTAGACTACACATATTTAATTTCTATTTGGATCTCATCTGCATAATAAACATCTCAGGATATGTTGGCATTGGCATCACTAAATGCTGAATAAAGTTCTTGAACAATTTGAATAATAAAATTTGAACTAATTACAGGGAGCAAAACCCATGTCTTGGAGAGTTCACTCTAGTGGGGATTTATATTCAAAATTAATATTTTTTCTGTCTTAGTTTGT